ATACTGTACTTCCATTGGTGCAGCCTAGAACTGTCTTTCCTTTCCTTCTTTTCTTCTGTGTCAAATTTGTGATCCATCAAGACATGCAGATCTTTTTTGCATATGCTGCTGCTAAATATGATCTCTCCATCACATACTCTCAATATTTATACTTAGTTTTTCTTAACCAAATAATAGGAGTTTTTATTTGTCCCGGAATCTTGATACTGTCCAAAGTGTTCCTGTATCCTCTATTTTTATGTCCATGCAGAATTTATCAACTGTCATTAATTTGTTAAATAGCACAAAGCCCAAAATAGAGACACAACTCATCAGACCTTTAGAGTTGTTAATACTGGATTCAACCCACACTTACCCATCTAATGGTGGAATAGTTAAGCACATATTTTGTGATCTTCTCTACCAAGAATGTAATGGGAAACATTATTGAATGCTTTGCTAAAGTCAAAATACGCTGTGTCCACAACATTTTTGTGGTCAACTAAATTGGTCACACTATCAAAAATGAAGATCAGGTTAGTTTGGCATGATTTATTCTTGACTAAATCCTGCTAACTCCTGCCAAGCAATGCATTCTTTTTTAAATACTCACCAACCGACTGGTTAAAATCTGTGCTAATGTTTTGCCTAGTAGTAAATTAGGGTAGCAGTAAAAGAGTCTATAGTTACCTGAATCCTCTTTTTCCCATTTTGTGAAGATAGGAACAACATTTACTCTACTCCAGTTCCTGGCATTAAGACCATCCTACATGATTTCTTAAAGATCACCAAAAGAGCTACAAGATGACATTCTTGACCTCCCTCAAGATTCTTGCTTGTAGCTACGGTACTTTGTTCTTGAAGATGTAAACTCATTCATATTAGCAGAGTATTATCTACCTACTTCTTAACTCTTGGGGTGGAACGTAAAATATGGTCTCCTGTAAGTACTTTTCCAACTAACAGATACTAGGCATAAGCTTTCATGAGCTGTAGCTCACTTCATCAGACACATAGAGGGGCTAGACTAAGGTAGGGGAGATGTCCTGGAGCAGGGGTGGGATCCTACTGGCATAACAACTGGTTCAGTGAGTGTGTACTTTGCAATGCAATACAAAATATCTGCATTGCAGCGCAATGCAAAATATCTGCAAGGTCTGATAACAAAAGTCAATGAACATAATAAAAACATGGGATTAAAATTAAATATAAAGAAGATCAAACTAATGAAAACAATACAAGGCTGGATGAAATGGGTCCTTATAATTGCAGCTGTCTCAGTGTCCCTACAGGACATGATTGCAATTCTGGCACTTTGGCAACTGGGCTGCAATTACAATATTGCAGTGTCTTGGAATTACCTGATCACCATTTGTGACTTTCACTGCCAGCTTTTGATAAGCAAAGTCTTTGGAGAAGCTGGCAGGAGGTTGCAAGCAGTGATCACATGGCCATGGAACACTGCAACCATGCATAATTCTCCTAGGAACAACTGGGACTGTCAAAACTGCGGTGGTAATTTACCACAGTCACATAATGTCGCACTTTAAAACTGGATCTTACAAACACGTTACTTAGGGATGGAGTTGCTGGTCCTACTTACCATCATTTAGCAAGGGCTAGTTTTATTTGCTGCCATAACTCTTTGGTGACTGTTCCCACCCTCTATTTTCTATATACACTTTGGATTCTAAATTCAGTTAAAACTGAAAAAAGCTAATCATACAGAGGGGTTTCCTCTGGAGCCCTCCTATTTTTCCTTCTCAGAATAGTGTGCATTTATACCTTCAGCATCTTGGTTTTGAGAAGTTCCCAACTTCCCTGTAGCAAATTATGGCTGATGGTGAAAAAAGAATCAGACCTTGTTAGAGCTTGCATGCTAGGCCACCAGGAAATTCCAGAGCTATAGGCTAGACGGGAAATCAAAACACATTCCAGAAGAAGGCAACGGTAGATCACTTCTGTATAATTGACAAGAAAACAATGTAGCTCTGTCCACACAAATATAAGTCAGATTTATCTTCAAAGACATGTTGCCTTCTTTAACTCGATACATACAGAGTTATTGTTATTTAGAAAGCACGTAGAAACCAAATGTAACAAGTAGAAGTGATGTCATGTAGGACATTCTTACCAACAAAGTCTGAATTCACTCACATCCCAGTCTGAGAGATACTTTTTTTAGGCCATGGAGAGATTAGCACCTGTTGGTTTAGAACAGATGTTTGTTTGTTTAATTAATTAATTAATTAATTAAATATGTGACTTGGGTAGCTTGCAAAATTAAAAATGTTTCTTCTTTGTTTTGTTCTAAGAAAAAAAATCAGGGCCTGAAAAAAGAGTAGGACTTGGTCTAAATCATACTTTATGTTAAGAGGCCTGGTAGTGTAGTAGTTAAAGTGTAGTATTACAGGCAAACTGTTCATAGTTTGATGAAGCTCAAGATTGAGTCAGCCTTCCATCCTTCTGAGGTCAGTAAAATGAGGACCCAGATTGTTGGGGAAATTTGCAAATAATGCTTCTACATTGTAAATTTCTCTGAGAATGCTGTAAAGTACTATGGGGCAGTATGTAAGCCTAATTGTTATTGCTAATATTTCTTATCTCTGGCTTAGGATATTTGACTGATTATTTCCTTCCTTCCTTCCTTCTTCCTTCCTTACTTCCCTCTTTCCTTCCTTCCTCAGAATATTTGTTTTAAAGAAATAACATTAGCAAAATACACGGACAATCAAAACACTTGATTTGGTGAGTGAGGATGCTGAATAATTTTAACAATATCAGAATGTAGAATGAACACAGAGCAAAGTGATTCGCCTCTTTCCTGTAGTAATTCTCTCATATTTTTAAGTTCCATTTTTAATTCCCGAAGAGATATCATCATTACATACTCTTGTATTTTATGATCGTTAAAGTCCACAAAAACAACAACAACACACTTTTACATTCCTTCTTTCTTCTTTCAATTTTCTAAAGTTCTCAATTATTCCAGCCCAGGGTCTATACCAAAACATCAATCAATCCCACAGTCAGTCTTTCCTTGGTTTTTTCTTTATTCTGGTTCTGCTTTCACTTTCTAAGATTCTTACTTTGTTTCAGTATTTCTTTAATGTTATATCCACACAAGTTCATTCAGAAACAGGATGCTTTCCATTTTGTTTGAGCTCAAGTTTTTGTCAAAAGGTGGCACTTTCCATTATACAAAGTCTTCACCTTTTCCCCCTATTTTTGGTTTAGGGTTTTTTGAACCTCAATATTCCAGCCCAGTCCAGTCTCCAATTTATAAACTTTATTATTATTATTATTTGACAATCTTAAGTCCAGCGTTATTTTATGCCTGTTTATTGCCAAAACATTTTAGTCCAATTTAGTTAAATCTTTAGTTCTGGCTTCTTCTTTCCCGGTTCAAAGCCCCGCTTAGCTGTCAAAAATATTTTCTTATTTTTTTCCTGTCCCTTTGTAATTTCGCTGCTCACTTTTCTTTTCTTAAAAATTCCATGTTACCTTAATCCTGAGGTACTTTTGTTTAGTTGTATTGCCCAGTTGTCCCGGTTCAGATGTTATCCATCTCTTTCTTCCCTCCTGCACAAAGCTTAATCCAGCTGAGTCCTCCTCTGCTCTGTGTTAGAAAAAATGGAAATGGTGATTGAAGAACAAGAAGAAAGAGCTTCAGAGGAGGAGGAGTTGACTCAAGGAGAAGACATTTTAAAAAGACAATTAATACAAAGAACACTACAAAGAAGTGGGGAAAGAAGGAAGGCTAAAAAGTTGAGACTTAAGAAGGCAATCAAAAGAGGGAATACTTGTGAAGTCAGGAAAGGCAGAAAGACCCAGCAGAAAAGGGGAAAGGAAGATATTAAGAAAGAGAGGGATATAAACTGGAATGAGAAAAGATATGAGGAAAAGAGGGAGAGGAGAAGCAGTAAGAAACAGGTGCATGAAATAAAGACGTACAGAATTACTAAAATGTTGAAAAGAAATGGTTTTTTCAGAGATAATGGTTGATGAATTAAAATGGGGATTCTGCAGGGTGACATGAGGTAATAAGAACATTTCTACAATTAAAAATATTTAGAAAATAGGGTAATATACATACTGATAACTCTTATTAAAAATCTAGGGGGGAAAATATGCTGCAGAATCCAATTGAAAAGATGTAATTATTATTATTGTAACTTCTTAAAAATAATGGTTTATTGGAAATCAAGATGAGGGAATAAAGGTATATTTTAATCATTGAGGTGTCACACTCAAAACAGTAAAAGGGGGGAAACCTATACTTGTTTTTTTTTTAGTGTTAAAATTTGTATTAATCTAGAATTTACAAAAAGAATGTGTAATGGAAAGGGAATATGACAGACTAAAGAACCAGCTAAATTAATAAGTTAATATAGACTATTAAAAGCAAGGAGAGACATTGGTAACTTTATTATTATTATTATTATTATTATTATTAGGCAAACACATATTGTTTATCTTTATTTTTAAAATAAATATTAAAGGATTATATTTGAAATAATTGAAATGAAACAAAAAGAAGTTTCAATTGAGATTAATGAAAGAGGCTAGAATTAATGTGTTTGTTTCTCTCCTTACTGAAAATTTGGAGTGGAAAAGGTAATAATAGAATTAAGTATGCATATATGAATGTATAATTGCTGTCATATTTGTATGTAAGGGTGATGACCCGGAAATATGTTGTCCACTAAAAAGAGATTTTTGTTTTTAATGTGAAAAACTGAATAAAATTTGTTTAAAAAAAAAGAATGCAGAATGCAAAAGATATAATTCAGTAATAGAGCTTGTATGCACCTGCGCCCGCACGTACATATATACATACATACATAAATATTCAATACAAAATATAATGTCATTTGCCACTTTGTCAGTCTAATGTGATTCATCGCCATAGATTCAGCTTAACCTAACGGGCAGGCAAACCACAACTGAAAATAGCACTGAAATGTTGACTAGTTGTACTATTCATTAGTAACAATTCTAAACTCGATTGCTTTTATCAGGTTTGCTGAAGCAAAATCTCTGGGACAAAAAGTAAATGATGTAAGAAATCAAATCAGTAAGTATGAATATTTCCTTTTTTAGTATCCAAATTATATTACATATTACACTGACTAAAAATTATACCTGCCGCTGGAATTAGTTAATCAGATTTTTCCTTATTCTATCAATCAGCAATATTTTATCATGTAGTAATTTTCCTGTTGTTTAGAACAGGGATCACCAACCTTTTGGACCTCAGGACCACCAAACTCATAATTTTAAATTGCGCGGACCAGAGACCCTGGGAAAATCCCCCCAAAAGTCTGCAGGAAAATTCCCCACTCTGTTTTCCTACCGATTGATCATTCTTTATTTGGGATTGCAGGATACTGTCTCCAGCTCCGTTCTCAGGGAGAGAGAGAGAGACTTTTGGCTTCATATAAGGAAAGCAGCAGAAGCAGCAGAAGTCTTTCTTTCTCTCCCCCAAACTCCACCAGAAATGAATCTTTGTGAGACTTGTTGCGCTGGCATAGCCTCTTGGAGCAGGATGCCTTGCAGGGTCCCAAAGACTCATTTCTGGTGGAGTTTGGGGGAGAGAAAGAAAGGTTTTTGCTGCTTTCCTTGCGTGCAGCCAAAAGCAGAAGAAGAAGCAGAAAGAAGCAGCCTGGTGGCCAAGCAAGGCATGTGGGACGAGTGGGGCAAGTTCCCCCACTCCACCCTTTTCCCCCTCCCCTCATTACCTTGTGTTGTTTGCAATGCAAGCAATGCAAGCCTTGTTTTCCCACGGGACATGTGGTCGGCGCAGCCTTGTGTTCCTGCGCAGCCTGGATTAATTGTTTTGGGGGGGGTGACATTTCTCTGCTGACCACCAACATTTTCTCACGGACCACCACTGGTCCCCAGCCCACTGGTTGGCGACCACTGGTTTAGAAGCTTGTTTCTTCAATTTCAGTCCATTCTGTTAATTTTAGTCATACACATCCAATTTATATAAATCTCAAGGTCAAAAGAGTTTTCTGTTTCAGAATTCTTTCTCTTAAATAGTTGGACAATAGAAAAGGTATGACTTGTTTGCCTATATAGAATGTGATTATGTAGAATGTCGTACATCAAATCATACGTGGCTACTTCTCTGGTAGAATTATACTGAAAAATCAGCAAATAAGAATGTGCTTGAAGCTAGATATTTATGTTCCTTGTATTTTTGTTTTGGGTTCCTTCAAGCATTCCTGGCTACACTAGAATGCTCAATGAAGTCCAGATCATATCAGTATTATTTTATATTTGCTAGCCAACACTTAATAATATGTTATTCTTTACCACAAAGGTCATCAGACAACCTTTTGGTGAGCCACTTGACGCAATGTAGAATCTATATTACAGTCTTGATGATTTGTAATAGTCATGACAGACAGTGGTTGACTCTATTTTTAAATTCTGCCAGAAATTTTTTAACATTCTGATTTTCCACTGGACCAATGAGTGTTTCTCAGGTATGGAAAAAATGTAGCCACTTTCCATGATATACACTGGTATGCTATGATGCCTGAAATGGGGTAATCATAGTTAGATATTTTATTTGTTCTCCCAACTTTACAAAGGGATCATAGTGTAGAATTCACAAGTGCAAAATCTACAACTAAGTTGCAATCACCAAAATATACTACTGCAAGATGAATATTTTTCTACTATTGTATGATAGAACAAAAAATGAATTTTGAATATGTTTTGCCACCATGAATATGTTGCTTTGTATCTGAAAAGTGATATTAATCATTATAATGAGAACTGAAGTTGAGACTTGTCTAAAAGCATGTAATAATATACTTATAAAAATTGTAAGACTGATACATATGGATTTCTGTTCTAAATTAAATTAGAAAATATTATCTGAAAGGGGAACTTTTGAAAAGCATGCATTAGTTTCCCAGAAATTAAAGGAAGTTATCATCCATACCTAATCCCAAATGGGAAACGGTGGGAAGGGCTAATGAGGAATGTTAATAGCATAACATACTATGCTAATACATATTATCCAAAGTCTTACAATCTTGGCAAAAGTTATACCTATAGAGAAGGAATCATTAAATCCAAAGAAGATGAAGACAATATTGCCCTCAATGATCAGAAGGTACTATAACTTTTATACACAATAAATTTTTGTGTATACATATAACATTGGTGATGACAGGTAAGGCTCAGTCCCCATGATATTTGTGATGTTTTCAGTTCTTCAGTGCTTTACAGTTCTAGAATGTCAAAGACCAGCAGTGGTTTTCACCAAGTCCACTTATAAACTTTTTTAAAAAAACTACCAAATTCTTTCTTTTAATTGGGACAAGAGTACTGTCATATTAAATTTGGGGAAGGCACTTGATATTCTGGAATGTGGAACATGCTAGAGTACCTTTTACCCATTTTTCATGGCTTGGGAAACTCAATCAATATTATCTTTCTCTGAATGCTCATTCCTTAAAATAAATTGACATTACACTTCCCTTATACCTCTCATGTATAAAATACTTGGTTGCTGGCCAAAATGGTACCATTCTGTTTATTTGTTTGTTTGTATCTTGCCTTTATTATTTTTCCAATGTTCTACAGAGTTTGGTAATAAAAGTCCAATAATAAGTTGATTTTTCCATCAGAAAATATTTTTTTAAAAGCACCACAATTAGAAGAGCCTGATCTGTGGTTCAGGTTGCATAATTTTCTATGGTACAATAATGTTAAGGTTAATTGTGGATTTTAAGAATCTTTAAATTAGTAGTATGTTTTGAGAATATGGAACACATATTAAACATATTGAAAGAAAGAAATTATGATATAACCTTAAAAAATGGATTTAAAAAGTCCTTTATAACCATTGTCAAAAAACCTGGAAGCTTCTTTATATTCTTTTCTTTTTTTTATTTTGTTTCTTACTTATTTTGTATTCTTTTTTAACTTCTTTCCTTTAAATATTTTCATTGTTTTTATCTTATTAAATGTTTCTTCAATAAAAAGTACATTAAAGAAGATATGAAAAAAGTAATGCTTTTCACCGTGGGGCTCAAAATGTAACTTAATATTTTTAGAAATGCACTCTAGACAAAAGCATAAAATTGGACAAATCCAGGCCACAAGATCCTATCTTATTCTTCTTTAGTTACTAAGTAAGATATTTCATTAACTTATTTAGTGCCTCAATATGAACATGAAATTTATTCCTTTAATTGGCCTAAACTTTCCAGAAGTGAAAAAAATCAGTGCCAATAATTTTTAATTAATTAAATTATTTAATTTCCTTAAGGGAAACAGCTGTTCTTGTTATTCTGTGCAAAAAAAAATCAATGAATGCTATAATTGAAGCTGAGTGTAAAAGGAAAGATAAATGATTATTGTTCCAAACTTTCAGTTAAAACAAGATTCCTAGAAATAGGTTTTCCTAATAAGTCAGTAAGAATGTACACCATTTCATTCTTTATTTAATAAATGTTCCTCATTTACATAGAATGCCACTACTACCACATAGTACAATTACATCATTCCATGTGTTATATTAATAGCAATAGTAGAGAAAAAGTGCAAATTCATTGACTAGAAACTTGCTATTTTTCTGTAGCGCTACATAAAACTTAGTCTTTTGTCTACAGGGTTCACAATAAGTATATTTTTCAGTTATCATAAACAATTGGGAACCCACTAAAGGAAAATGTGAACACATTAATTCTTTTCCTTACATTTTTATCTTAATTCCTCATTTTTTCCATTGCATGCCTTTTTCTTCAGTTTTTTAATATGTGGACCCACTCCTTCATCTCCTTATATATACCCTGTTTTGGTCTGCTTTGCTTTGAGAAGCTGATATATTTCAATTTGGTTTGACCGACTACTGATTTAATACTCATTCTCTTACATATCAGTGAAGGAGACTGATGGAAAGAAATAATAAAGAATGAATCACAGGTATCTTCACCTGCTATTAATATCCTGTTTGGGGCTAGTAGGCCTTTTGTATTATTTTTTCAAAATCCACCTGGTATGCAAAACTTCAGCAGAATTTTTTTTTTATTAAAAACTGTGGTTAGTAATATTGTCTTTGCTGAATAACTAAAGTAAGCTCAAATGAAAGCACGAGTTAAAATGAAGCAAAAGAGACATGGGATCATGAAAATAGGATGCAGCTGTTGTAGTAAGTAATGGAATGGAAAGAAACATCAAACAAATGGCAGAGAATAAGAATTTTCAGGTTACAAGGGGAGTCCAGAAGTATATATGGAAATGTATTTTACAGAAATGTCTGGTGGTATAATAAAAGGGATATCTATAGAAAAGAGGGTCCCCATATTTTTATTTGGACTCTTAATTCTGATCTTATAGAAATAAAAAAATGAACTTGTCCATTATAAGAAATAAAGAGAGATTTTCCCTTGTTCTCAGATGTATTGTTTAAGAGCTTTGGAATATTCACTTTAACTAATGTGTTCACTAAACCTCCCTGTATCTACAGCTACAATCACTATTAGATTTCATCTAGCAGAACTCAATGCAATAATAGTGAAACAAGTTGATTTATTTTAGGGGAAATAGAGCCATTATATAATCTTTGTATTATTCAGTATTCATAAATTTAATATCTCAGTTATGATACCTGCCTTTTGGCATGCAATCCCTCACAAAAATCTATGGGGCTCCAATCCTGCTGACATTCTCCAAGATGTTGAAGACCTAGTTGTTCTCCCAGGCCTGGGTTACACTAGATGGATTCCCTAATTTGATATTTTTGCACATGTTTTTGTGTCAAATGATTACACCGCAATCTTCATTACTTAGTTCATATTATATTTTTATTATTTTCAATATTGTGGGTCAGTTTTTAATTGGACAAAATTAAATCATATCCAGTAAAAATATATCATGACAAAAATAAAAATCAATAAACACATAGAAATAAATCATTTACACACCATTCCAAAGAGACATTCAAAAAATACCAGAAAAAAAAAACAACACAAAAAATCTAGAATAGGTCCTCTCTAGCAGCCAACTCCCAGATAAACAGGGATTAACACCAGACAAATAATCAAGTAGAAA